GAACCTGGGGGGACCATAGTCAGGACAGCTGACCCAAACCAGACAGAAGAATATTCCACACCACAGAATGTCCTGTTCAGTGTATAAACCGGGGGAAGTCGGCCAGGAGAGGCCAATCACTGCTGGCAGATAGGCTGGGCACAGGTCAGCGGAGGCTGAGCAATTGTATTGGGCATCACTTGACCTTCTTGAGCTTTATTCCTCTTTCTTATTATTACCATATCTTACTTTACTTCAATTTTTGAACTGTTCTTAGGTTGGCTCATGGATTTTAACCTTTTTCTAATTCACCTCCCCATTCCACTGGGGTGGTGAAAGAGAAGGTGTGTGGGACAATCACAGATTTCAAGCACTCTCGAGTTTACAAGCACCTATTCAGCTCCACAAATCAACATCCCAGAAGTTTATTTAGGAAGTAACCCATAAGCAAATGGATGCTTTAGCATTAGTAACTGCACTTCATTAGCAGCTTTTACTCCACAACTTAAAGAATACTTCAAAGTAAGTAAATCATAGAACCGTAGAATAAGCTGGGTTGGAAGGGACCTCTAAGATCATCAAGTCTAACCCTTGGTCCACTACCGTCGTGGTTACTAGACCATGGCACTAAGTGCCACATCCAGTCTCAGATGCAAATAAGATACAAATAAGGATTTCCAAAGAAAGATGCTGGAACAAAACAGCGGAACACAGCTGTAGGTGGTAAGAGAGGCAAGAAAACATCTCCACATAGCCTGACACCGTTCTGAACTTGAAAATCTTCCAAAACTACAACCTCTCCTGCTGACGATGGGAAACAATGCTACAAGCAAGTGAAATTCACTCCAGCTATTTATCACTAATAAAAATGAATATATAGTATAAAAATCTTCTGTTCAGTTTATGAATCTCAACACACTTGACAGTATCTAACTAAAGTCACATGAAGTGCTTTGGCCTGGTTCAATCAACTAATCTTTAACAAACCCCATGGTCTTGTCTTATAGTCAAGAGTGCCTCAAATACTTCATATCCAGCATGATCGACTAATGATAATTTCTCCCACCTCCCAGAAAAACTTTGGGATTACTTAACTTGCAACACAAGTTTAAAAAACACAAGGCAAGCTGTTGGCAAAATGAAGTCTTATCAGAGCTTCAAGTAACCTGGAAATATCTGAGCATACGTTAGATGGGTATCATCAGAGGCAACAGCAACCAGCATCAGAGCATTTGAAATACAACTATTACTGGTCATACAACAGATGGAACAACACATGGAAGAGAGGGAAGTGTTATCAAAATCCAGAGTCTCAGCAACAGCTCATCTTTGGCAGACAGACTGGCTCGGACCTTCCCACAACTTCTATTTGAGCCAGCTTCACGCAGGAGCGCAGGCTTGACAGGGAACAAACAAGTAGTCCAATGCTGCTGATTTACTGAAACATAGGTTACAAAAGGTCAAGTCAGACTGTTCTAGAACATGACTGGCTTCAAACACCTCTACAAACAAAAAGTAACGTGCCAAGGCTTCAAACATCTCTACAAACAAAAAGTAACGTGCCAAGGGAAGCTAAGCTTGTTTTGTGAGCGGTTCCTACAGGATCACCCCTTTTTGAACCTAGTTTGATTCTGGACTGTCCATAATCAGACAAGTACCTAATGACTAATGACAGACGTTAAGACGTCACATCTGGGAAAACGTGGGGGGTTTTTGGCATGTGTGTTAGGAACAAGAGCTATCCTCTTAGTACTCTGCACTCCTTTTCAGGCCAGAATGGAAAACTAACACAAGAATAAGTAGAGTTTGGAGGGTGGGGAAATGTTTGTAGTCTATTATTACTAGTTTTCTTCAAGTCCACCATTCAGTCATCTTGAAGTCTGTCTATTTCTACTCAATGGGACAAGTCTAGTTACAGGAAAACACTAAAGTTCCATCACAAGCTAAAGGCTACCTACTGCTAGAAGACAATTTCAGGTGTTTGACTTTTAACAAACACCTTCAAATGTTTATAACAAATATTCAAAATATACAGACACAAGTTGTTTGGGCTCGGGTGTGGCTTTGAGATCATCTCAATGAATTACTTTGGACGGATCTTAAAGTAAAAGCATTTAATTCTTAAGGAAAACCAATGTGAAGGCAAGCAGATGGCTCTGGGAAGTCATAAAAACAATGCATGGGTAATTTTCACGTGCTTATGTACAGTGGTTTTCATTCTAGGATCCAAAAGGACTTTCACACAGAACCATAAGGGTTGGAAAAGACCTTTAAAGGTCATCTGGTCCAACATCCCTGCCATAAGCAGAGACACCTTTCAGTAGACCAGGTTGATCCAAGCCCCATCAAACCTGGTCTTAGACACTTCCAGGGATGGGGCAGCCACAGCTTCTCTGGCCAATCTGTGCCACGGCCTATATCTAGTCTAAATCTACACTCTTCTAGTTTAAAACTGCTACCCTCTGTCCTGTTGCTACAGGACCTACTAAAAAGTCTGTCCCCATTCACCTATTCATCAAATAAAGCACCTAGAATACCACAGTGGTGCTTCTATTTAAAAAAAAAAATGGCAACTGAAGTGATTCATATACATGCTGTGAACGTTGCCATCAGACATGGAAGCATTAAACAGCTATTGGAAAGATCTGCTGCAAGTCCTCAAGCTCAGAGACCAGATCAACAGTCGCCTATAAAGCACTTCAGACTGAGTGTTCTGGGTTAGACTTAACAAAACTTTTCCTGAAGAAGGTCTTACAAATGAAGAAAAAAAAAAAGTCATGGTTTCCTTCTGCACTCTAGACAGCTGGTCTTTAACTCCAATTTAAAGAACTTCTACCTCCTTGACTATTAGAACACTTTTAGCACTGAACTAGAATTTATCTGAGATGGGATGGTCTTCCTCAGCAAGAGAGAACAGTCCAAAAGACCAGTCTCCTCTACGGAAAGTCCTATGATGGTTTTGGGCTGTTTTGAGGTATGAGTGGGGTTTTTTTGGTCATTGTTTTATTGGAAGAGCACAAAGGTTGTTTGCCATGGCTTGGTTTGGGATTTTGGTTTTAAATGACTTCCATTGTTTCCATTCCCATTCTTAGGGAAGCATTTGGTTTATGCACTGATTCCCATAATCTCAGAAGGCTCTTTGCTCATGATGGACAAGAAGCCCCAGCTTTGTCTTATCCAAGAATCAGCTTCCAGCTCCTCCCAACAATTTGGTCATGTGGGTATCACTGTAGACATGCAGCACACCGCAAGCAGACCAGGCAGCATAAGCACGGTGGCAACATGAAGTAGCTTTAATATACTTGAGGACAGCACCAACGCCTCAGTCTTTTCTGCAGCACAGATGTTATCTTCTTAAAAAGACATAGTTCCGGAGTTCTGAAGGCAAACAAACTGCTGACTGAGTTCTGCCATGCGGTCTTCTAATCCATAAAAAAGACTGTCTTCTGCAGCTGGGCACCAGAATTTCACAAATCAACAACAGCACTAGAGCATAACTCAGTATTGTCCATCTTCAGGCTAGAACATGACTCAGTATTGTCCACCTTCAGGCACCAAAGTGTTCACTCTCCACCAGCTGGGCCAGAGAGCAAGGCCACAGGACACAGAGCCAAGGGTGACATGGAGCTATTACTAGGTTTATTCTCTTGTGCAACAGCCCTTTGCTTTTCTGATTATGAAAAGAAATGGATCGTATGCTCTTGGCATACATAAGGGAGATTAGTCTTGGTTGCTCTTGCAGATGTATCTTGTTTACCAACAGAACCAGAGAGATCTACTTTGAAATCAAGTCGCTCATGTCTCTGTGCCATCTTTAGACTGCTGTAAACTGCTGCGGTCCTTCACGCATTGAAAAGGGAAGCAAAAAGATAATCTTGCACTCCACTTCTTCTATTGATGGATAACACTAAGAGTCAACTCTTCTGCAGAACATCAGTGGACAATCTTAGGCCGGTGACCAACTAATCAAAATGAAGCAATGCCAAGTATGGTTCCACACTGTTCTTCCAGGCCAGTTCAGGAAGAACAAGCATTTTCTTTCATCTCTTCTGTACGTGGCAACTACAAGGCTTAGGAGGGGCAGGCAGGTCTCAACAGGTGCCTGACCCCACTAAGCACTGTTTGCTGGTGGTGCTTCCCATTTTCTAGGCAGGTACTCAGAAGAACCTCATTTTAAACAAGGGCTTTGCCTCTTCTCAGGATGTGTTATTTTGAGAGATTCACTGATGACATGCAAAAATCTGATCAGAAGAAGACTGTCATACTCCTGTTGAAAATGAACCTGCACAACACAAGCGGGCACGCACGAAGCCAGATGCCGCAGTAGGATGACGGGCGGCACAGCAGCGCACGCGCTGCTCCGCAGAGGCGCAGCCGCGGGGGTCCGACTGCCCGAGGGGCCCCTCCGTTCCCCCCGGGCCTACCGTACCCACACACCGGCTCTCCATTACCCACGGACCCGCCTGCGGTGGGACAGCCGGGCCTGGGGCAGGGACACCACTCTCCCCGTCGGCCCGCGTGGCTTCGGCCGGGCGCACCGCGCTGACCCGTCGCCTCAAGCAGGCCAGGTGTCGCGGGCCCGCCCCGCCGCAGCCGGTACTCACGAGTTGGTGTGCAGGTACTCGAAGGTGAGCTGGGCTCGGTTCAGGCTGCTGTAATTGCCCAGGGACATGTCGGCGGCCGTCACCGGGGCCGGGCTCGCGCCCGCGCCGCGTGCGCCGGCGGCCGCGCGCGCCTCGAGGCCTTCCCGCCCCCTGCCGGTCACAGCCCCCGCAGGGCGGCTGGCGCTGTGCTGGGCCGCGTTGTGCCGCCCCGCGCTGCCCCCGCCGCTGCTCCCGCGCGCCCCCGGCCCCGGCCCGGCCCCGCTTTGTCTCCGCCGCGCCGCGATCCCACCCGGCGCTGCCGCAACGGCCCCCGCGGGGGCGGGGCCACGCGGCCGCTACCCATTGGCCGGGCCGCGGCACGTGACGGGAGGGTCCCAGCGCGGCCAATGCGGGCTCTGCGCCGCCGCGTGACGGGCGCGCGCGGCCGGGAGGGAGCGGCGGCGGTGAGTGCGCGGGGAGTGCGCGGGGAGTGCGCGGGGGGTGCGGTGTGAGTGCGCGGGGAGCGCGGTGTGAGTGCGCGGGGAGCGAGCGGGGAGCGCGGCCGCCTCGGGACCCCCGTGGAGCTCCCCCCCGCCCCGTAACATCCCCCCGGGACCCCAGGGGACTCCTTCCCCAGGCTCCGCCCCGGCGGCAGCCGCCGAGCGCCTCAGCGCCGCGGGAGCGGCCGCTGCGGCTTCCCCAGGACGGTCAGGCCGGAGGCCGCGCGGTGAGGCCGCCCGGTAGCGTGAATCACGTCCGGCCCTGGGCGAACGCGCCGGAGCGGGGCGGCCCCACCGCCGCGGGGCCGACGAGGAGAAGGGGTGCACCAGCTGCCGGTGACTGCAGAGTGCCGCAGCGGAGCGGGGTAAGGCCCCTCGGCCCCAGACGGTGGGAGCGGCTCCGGAACGCAGCTGGATGGGAGGATCCCCCCGCTGAACCCCTCCGGAGGCTCCGCACGGAGCTCGGCGGGTGCCGATCCTGCGGTGTTGGTGAAGGCTCTGGGAAGTCACCGAGGAGAAGCGCCTGAATGTGCCCGTACTTAGTAAAAACATTAGTAGAGACGATATATCAAATCGTTCTTGCTTCAATCCTGTGTCTTTCGTTCATCTTGAAATGCCAAGGGATTCAGCTCAAGAGCTGTCCTCCCTGTGCCCTGCACACACTTTGTGCCCCCAAACCACAGCCCGAACCCAGAAGCCCTGAAGGCCAGGAGTACTTTGCTGAACACTTGAGTTGTGCCGTGGAATAACACACCCCACTTTCCTTCTGAAATGGACACTGAAACAGGATGGCTGCATCTCCCATGTCTTGGATAATAGGAATCTGAACTAAAGATCCAAAATCTGAAGGAATTCAGTCTGTGCAGAAATTGATGTGGCATATTCCTTCTTGAAGAATGTCCAGCAAGAATGAAACATGTAAGATTGCAGGTTTTAAAAGAATAAACATTATTTGATTATTTGTAGGACATCGGAGGGGAAAGGTAAAGGTTTCATAAAAGAAAGAAGCACTTTAATTTTATCTGGAGATTTTCCAGCAATAAAATCTAATCCATTAGGAAAAAAAAAAAAGTATGGGAGTTGGGATTATTCAGCCTGGGGAAGAGAAGGATATGAGGTGACATTAATTCAGCCTTTCAGTATTTGCAGGGACTCCAACGGAGCTGGAGAGGGACTTTGGACAAGGGGAATGGCTTTAAACTGAAGGAGGGTAGGTTAGATTAAATATGAGGAAGACATAGTCCCCTGTGAGGGTGGTGAGGCTCTGGCACAGGTTGCCCAGAGAAGCTGTGGCTGCCCCATCCCTGGAAGTGTCCAAGGCCAGGTTGGATGGGGCTTAGAGCAACCTGGGCTAGTGGAAGGTGTCACTGCCCATGGCAAGGGGGTGGAATGAGATGAGTTTTAAGGTCCCTTCCAACCCAGTCCATGATTCTGTGGTATCCGAGCTATCTGGTGAAAAGTCAAATTTAAATCTGTTAATCATGATTGGTGAATGACTAAAGCCTGAGTTTCATATTTGAGTTTTTTGCCCCTCATCCCCAGTGGTGTGTGAGCCTGCACTGCCAAGTCTGCAACTTTGGCCTCAGAACTTCACTTCCCAGTGCAGCATTTAGTTCTGTTCATTCTCAGTTTAGCCTGTTCACATCTAAAGATTCCTTCAGGCCAGGAAGTTATGTCCTTCCTGCTGACAGGAATTTCTCTGTGTGTTCTTGTGTAAGCATCAAAAAAATCACTGCGTACATGCATGCAGTGGCTCTTTTAGGCCTTATCTCTGGAAAGCTGCGCGCAGCAGGACATCAAAGCTGCATGAAAGAATTGGAAAAATTACTGGCAAGAACTGTACTTACGTGTCATTAGGTTTATGACAATAATCAACATGAGTCTTTTAAGGATTGTAGCATCATCTGTTGTGCTCAGCTTTTATTCTGTCACATTGCAGTCAATATAAGCAGCAGATGTTCAAAAGCAATGTAAATCCCATCAGTGTAAGGGCAAAGTAGCTACCTAGATGCATGTTCCTGAGGAACATGAACCTGAACTTATGCATCTCATCAGCCTTGTCCTCTTAGGTACTCTAAGCATCTCTGTTCCTAGCATCATCTTACCTTCAGGGAGGAACTAGTGTTCCTTTCCTGACATTGGAGAGGTTGACAACATCGTCCTAGTACTGCAGTGCTGTTGAACAGAGCAGTTGGGCACCTTCTTGCTGCTCCTGTGAGATCTGACCTGTTCCAAGGGAGGGCTGGCTGGTTGCCAGTCCTTTTCATCTGTCCCTTGGGAGAAGACCGGTACTTGGCAGTTCCATTTCATTTCACCAGTCCCAGGCAGGAAATTGCTCATTTTTATCCTGCCGTTTGGTGGTGGTGAATTCCACGTCTTTTTTATTTTCTTTGACAAAAGTAAAATGAAAATTAAATTCTTACATTTTCCATAGCTGTTCTGCAGTAGGTTTCAGGCATGCTACTGACTCCTGCTCTTTGATCTTTTGCCCAAGACTGGAAAGGATTGTATCTTTTTGTTACCTGGCTCTCTGAGCTGCCAGATTTTGTTCCAAGATGTAGTGAAATGAATTTACATTTTGCAAAGCAGCATTTGGATCACACCAAAGCTCTGCCTTGGCCACAGCAGAGCTATGCTTTGGTAGGAACCTCTCTGTGGATGGAGAGATGATAGGCCTATTGCTGCTGCTGCAAACTGCTGAATTCCTCAGTATTTTGGAGATGGAGGTCTTCCTACTGCAAATTCACATTTATCCTCTTTTGGGGCAGCAGTTTTATGTTGGAAACTCTCTCCCCAATCTTTGTTTAAATAGTTGCAGATCTTTCAGGTATACTGGTTATGACAGGCAACTTCCATTTTTTTTTTTCCTTCTGCTACCGGAACCATTTCCGTGACTTTCTGTTCAGCACCAGGATCTCTGCAGTATCTCTTACGTGTATCTATATATTGTATTAGCAATATCTTTGCAAAATCTCTTACAGTAATGGGCAAAACAAGTCTGGCTGCTCAGGTGTCACAGGCAGTACCCCCCCACCCTTGAAGGCTCTCAGTGCAGTAGAAAGCAGCAGTTTGCTCTGGTGCACATAACTTTCATGATAAATGACCTGTGGATTGGTCGTTTGTCCAGCCTGTACATGTTGAGCTTAGGGCAAACTGTACTGCTCTTCTTTAACCTTAAGGCTGAGCTTCTTACTCTGAAATAATCCCCAAATCCCCTTGTAAAACTAGTCTTGATTCCACACTGGTCAAAGTCTGTGTTTCTAGACTGTGATGTGGGAGTTCCTGTGCCAGTCCCATGTGATGTTTGCTGGGTCCTTACCCTGGCATGGCATTTTGCTAAGCCTCTTTCCACTAAGTCCAGGCCATAGCCTGAGATTGTTGAATAGTTTGTTTATGTGGCCGTTGTTCTGCAAGTTGAAGGTAACTGCTTCTACACCTGTGTGAGCCTTGAGTTAACGATTATTCTTTGTCTCCCCTATATTTTAAGAAACCAGATTTTTAAGCCAGTATTTAATGCATGAGTCGCCATGGCGAGTACTAGATTCTGCACCAGACAAGCGCAGTGAGTGCAGCAAAGTATCTTTTCCACACTCTCATGAGGTCTCCCGAATTAACTGTTTGTGGCTTTATTCTGTGTTTATGCACATGAAGAAATGTAAACCTTTGCATTGTAGAAATGAGGTTTTCACTGTCGGAGTGAAATAATCTGCAGGCAGTGAAAAACAAATCTGAGAGATCACGAGTAATCCTCGGGGGCTTACTGGTCCTTCCTTTATCCTTCATTTTTCTGGAAGGAAAAAATGGCATTGCCTTTGGGTGCAAGGTCCTCTGTATATGTCATGACAGAAGCTGCTGAAGTTCTAGGTCGGTGCTGCTCTACTGAGCGTTCACCTTGGTACCTCTCTTAAGAAGTTTGGATGCAATTACAGGCCCCAGTAACTGAGTTTTTCCATTGCCCTGAGTTTATAGAAGGAATTTCAAAGCACCTTCCTTTAACGGGCTGTGAAATCATCATGTTGCCTTGCAGCTTTTTGGTTCGTTCCTTCATATTGTGCCACATGCCGGCTCTGCTGTGTGATGAGTCGTGATTATCTACCTCTACAGAATGGGAACTTACTCTATGAAATACATTGCTGCCTTCAAACAGCATGAAGTGTTCTTTAAATGGAGCATGCTGGTCTCACTTGCAGAGAAGAACCTACGTTATTCATCAAAGCATTCTGCCTTGGGCATGAGTTGCATCTCTCTGTCAACTCAATATAATGCAGGAACACAACCCTGAAGTCAAGGATTTAGAAGGAAGTGTTTTTTTCCTGGCTTCTCTTAGTAAGAAGTTATTCCCTGTGTGACCTGGGACAGCCCTGTTTCTTGTGTTCATAGCCACATAGCATGTCTGCCCAGACTCTCCATCATTCATCTCAAGTAGCAGAGCAGTTTGCTGAATAAATGTAATAGAGTCATGAAGTGAGACCTCTCTTCATGGAAGTGTCTTTTTTTCTATGTTGGGAGATCTGAATCCTGCCATTCTTATTCTCTGGAACAGTAATTGAATGAGCAGTTGGTGTGTCAGTCCTCACAAGACATGCAGACCAAGATGTTCAAAGGCAAGACGTGTGGTAGGTACTGGCATAACAGTTTGGAGGCCTTTTCTGTAGTGCCAAGTCTCGGCCTCTTGCTGATTTATCTTCAGGGAAAGTCACTCCATGGATTTAAATTCACTGTTTCAGTCTAGGTACCATTCTCAGTGAGACACTTAATGTCAGAAATTACTTTGTAAATGGGTTTGCAGAAGGGTGGAAAGTGTAAGAGTAGGTGAGAGCAGGCAGACTGTGAGAACCAGGAAATTTTCAGTGGAAAGGTGAAAGGGGAGAATCCTCCGCTGCCAGTTGGGCTCCCGCTGTCCTGAGTCCAAGTTTGATTAATGAATTAACAACAGGAAAAAAATGTCACAGATGTTATAGCATTAAATCACCACCTCAGGCCTACCGCAGAAAACACTCTGTGCCTTTGCAAGAATGACGGGCAGAAGAACCCATGAGAAGATGGTAGAAAAGGAGCGATGGTGGTGTCTTACAAGAATTTAACTGACAAACTTGAAAGAGTTATGGATGGCATGAATTCATCATTTGTCAGAGATTGACAGTTTGGCCTAGGTTGAATGGTTTTCCATGGGGATGCTGAAAAGGACCCAAGCCCGGAAGCTTCTTGCTCTGAACTGTGACTGCATGACATTTTTAGTGGCTTCGACCAACATGAGAAGGTGTGCAGGCTTCTTAATAAGGTGACTAACTAGTACAATTAATTCTTTTCATTAATAAATAATTTCCCCTGTCTCATTATTTTAAATGTGTGGACTGTTACCTGTGGGTTTGGTCCAGTTCAGGCTGTCTGTTTAACCCAGCCTGATGGATGTGCCTGACAACGGTAATTTCAGTCTGGCAACTTGCAAGCAACCAAAAACATGATCTTGTAGTGAAAAACTTACGGAAACCTCTTGGGTGCCTCAGGGAAGCAGCATCCAAGTAGATTGATCTGTGGTACGAATGAAGAGATGAACAGCTGTATCACCGCATCTGGTGCAGAGCACACTTGGCGAGTGGTAGGGTGGGAGCAAGGCTCTGCAGGTCCTTCCCATCGAAACATGAACAGTGGTGACTGACAATAGATAACTGCTCCTCCATCATGTGCTGGAAATGCCACCATGTGTCAAATGTCTTTTGTCATCTCTGAAGGTGTTCATCTCCTCTGTCTTTAGAACTAGACAGGTACAAGGTGCACCAGAGCCCTGGACTGCCCTTCTGCCTTACAGGAAGGTGGTAATGTGAAGGCTTAACTGC